ATTCCTGCCCAAAAATAGCCCTGGATACCACAGTTTGGGGGCTTAACCCACCCCCCATCATTTTCCTTACTTAAAATGAGCCCAGGGAATGGCTATTTGATCCACTGGGGAGACCTATATGTACTATTGGGCTAAGCTGTAGCTCAACTTAGACCTATTTAAGTTCGAGCATATGATCCTACAAACAAATGTACCCATTTCCATAATGTTAAGGAAGCCTAAAATACGAAAACAGTATTGCCAAAAGCTCTCCTTAAAAGCAAAGACAGCCACTAAGGATAAATCACCTGTTAATGTCTGCTCAGAAGCCTTCCTAACAGTCTACTCCAATGAACAAGCAATCTGCAAAAAGCATAGATTGCATCGTGGCACACGTTTTAACAAAGCCCGTTCCCAACCAGATCTGTAGATCAGTAGAAGTGTAGACAGGGTTGCAAGGTCTGGGTTGGAAAATACCTGGAGACTTTGGGGGTGGAGCCGGGAGAGGGTGGGGTTTGGGGAGGGGAGGGGCCTCAGCACAGTACAAGGCCACAGAGTCCACCCTTCAGAGCAGCCCTTTTCTCCAGGGGAGCTGATCTCTGCCAGCTGAGGATCAGTTGCAAAAGCGGGAGATCCCCAGGCCCCGCCTGGAGGCTGGCAACCCTATGTGCAGGTTATGGCCTTTGAACTAGGTGCAACTGGTTTTGCTATGTGAATCTGAACCAAAGGTGAAGCTGGCAAAATCTCCAGCTGCACGGTTCTCCAAGCGCCTATAATTTTTTTGTAAACAAGCCTTGTCTAACTCTCACCACAAGCCCCAATTGTTGGCCCTGCTCTCTTACCACGCTGCTATACAGCGGCTCTTCCAAATCCAGCTTTCGCCGGCCAATGAGTGTCACCCTGGAGAATATTTGCTGCTTCAAGATTTCAGCCAGCAGTTCCTTCCCCGTCTCACCCGAGGCACCCAAGATGAAACACGCTTGTTTCTTGGCCCGGAAAGACTCCCGGAGGTTCTTCAGTTCTTCTGGCTTGGGGGGAGGCATTCTGGGGGGGGGGGAGAAAGAAGACATTTTGTTATGAAATAAAACCACTATCTGAGAGCCTGGTATAAAGTTTCTCAGTGTCTGAACTGTTTGGGATAAACCCATGGTTAATTTTTGAAGAGAGGTGCCAGAAGCCGACTACAACTACTGTCCTTGTCTCTGAAACGGAAGCCCTGCCTCTAAATTCCAGGTTTTGTACAGGGTAGCCATGGTTACTGAGGAATATACATTCTGTACATGGCTCACAGTACCTCTTTCCTCTATTACGGTATTACCTCATAACCCCAGATATTCTGATCCAGTTCCTACTGCTTTTTAAGAAGCTCCTTGTTTTCTATACATTTTTGCATTTCCCGTTGAGATATTTTAATTCTGTGAACCTCTTTTTTCTACATCTTATTGTGTCTGTTTATTTAAACAGTAAGCCTCTGGATTCTGTTGTATTTAATTCTGTTCTTTTTAAATCTAGGTTTTTGAATTGTTAAATTAAAAAGTGATACGTATTTCCCCCTTATTTAAAAAATACATTATAGAACGTGCACAATGTGAAACCCATAGGAAGTACAAAAATGTATTTCCTTAAACAAATGTAAATACAGCAGTGGCCATTTGTGCAATACCATTCCCACAGCTGAGATAAAGGTAGCCACTATTGTTTGATAAACACGTATTTTACCGGCCTTGTCCAGGTGGTATATAAAAGATAAACTTGGCCTTATAATTATTACTATGTGGAAGGCCCTCCAATCATTGGAGACGAAATCTTTGTAGCTTTTGGCGCCCATTAAAATATATTTATTGGATCCCTTCGACTAAGTAAGAAGTGTTGACCCAGAGTAATGAGTAAAGAGTCTGCAGAGGGCAGGGTTTGGGAAGGGGAGGGACCTCTGCGGGGTACAGGGCTCCCAAGTACTTACCTTGATTCGGCGGGGGATATATAGTTCTTCGCGGGACCATTCCCACGGGGAAAACACAGGTGCTGCACTATTCCGTCGCCCAGACGTGATGTAGACACGTAGCCGGGCGACGCTCTAGCAATGGGGTTGGAAACTCGATGGTACCATCGAGTTTTCAGTCCCATTACCAGAGCGTCGCCCGGCTACGTGCCTACGTCATGTCTGGGCGACGGAAAGTGCAGCGCCTGTGTTCCAAGCAAGAATCTTCCGGCGGGGAAGCATGTGTCCCCCGCCGGATCGTAGGTAGGTACTTGGGAACCCTAGGAAAAGCAAAATCCTAGGTGATATAAAAAACATATAAAAGGGCAATTATGATAGAATTACATGCTCAAAATATATATAAAGGACTGAGGAGCTTCAGGCCTTCTTAGGACTCCTTAATTTCTATCACTCTTTTCTTCCCTTGAAAGCAGCTGTAGCGGAACCCCTCCACCGGCTCCTCGACAAGGGCGCGCCATGGGTCTGGGGCCCGACGCAGCAGGCGGCGTCAACCCAGTTACTGTTTCAGAACAGTGGAAGTAACACCAGAACGTCAAGAAGAGAGGGAAAGACAGGAGCTAAGAAAATATGAAGCGACAGAACAAAACAAACCACTAGCCAGCCAAGAGCAAACCAACAAACAACCAGCTGGCAAAAGGCCCAAGGGAAATAAATGTTTTCATCTGACGCCAGGGAAGCCATTAAGGCCTGGTCTAGACAAACACTGGAATGAGAAAGCAATGGGGTGGCAGAACCCTGGGGTGGCAGAACAGACCAGACCAGACTTCAGGGGAGGGTAATTCACTGTTCAATGTTCCCCTATATGTAGATCCAATTGGGTAGCCATGTTGGTCCGAAGCAGTAGAACAAAGTTTGAGTCCTGGGGTACCTTTAACACCAACAAAGTTTCATTCAAGATGTGAGGTTTCGCGTGCACGCACACTTCCTCAGGTACAATGGAATGGAATTTACCAGTCCATACCTATAAGGCAGAGGTTGAACAGTAAATTAGTATACAACATAATGAGATGTTTTAACAGATGCAAACAAGAATAACAAGCTAAGTTTATAAGGTCATCATTGCTTGAATTTAATTGGGGGGGACAGTGGAAAAAACAAATATTTCAGAATTGGAGACAGATGTGTAATTGTATCCTTAATTGTGGAGTGCTAAGAGTAATGAACTGAGACCTTGTTGTTATGCTCCATCTGTCTCCTCTCAAGCACAGAGGTAATAGCATCTCTGAAGTGGGGTGATTTGTAGTGTAGTGTTATGCCTCCTTTGTTACCAGACAAAAGAAATGCATTCCAATATACCATTCCAATATCCAATGCATTACATTATAATCGCTATTCTAATCTACTGTTCCAACTCGGCCAATGGCCAGGGGAAACCTGGCAGTCCTCGAGGGGAGAGGGAGAGGCTAAGAGATGCCAGGTGCCTGGGAGGACTGGAGGCAGTGTTTCCATTTTGTGTTAAAAGCTGAACTAAGTTTGAGTCCAGTACACCTTTCAGACCATCAAAGTTGGTATAAGCTTTAGTGTGTATATGCACACTTCCTCAGATACAGTGGAAAATGGCCTGATCCAGCACTGGCTTCTCTTAAGTTCTTATATGGCAACCCTAGTCATGGAACAGAGCAGGATTTTAAATAAAACTAAAAGGGAGGCAAAATAAATGCCAAGAAGCAGCAAGAAACAAGCCAATACCAACCCAGTTACTGTTTCAGAACAGTGGAAGTAACACCAGAACGTCAAGAAGAGAGGGAAAGACAGGAGCTAAGAAAATATGAAGCGACGGAACAAAACAAACCACTAGCCAGCCAAGAGCAAACCAACAAACAACCAGCTGGCAAAAGGCCCAAGGGAAATAAATGTTTTCATCTGACGCCAGGGAAGCCATTAAGGCCTGGTCTAGACAAACACTGGAATGAGAAAGCAATGGGGTGGCAGAACCCTGGGGTGGCAGAACAGACCAGACCAGACTTCAGGGGAGGGTAATTCACTGTTCAATGTTCCCCTATATGTAGATCCAATTGGGTAGCCATGTTGGTCCGAAGCAGTAGAACAAAGTTTGAGTCCTGGGGTACCTTTAACACCAACAAAGTTTCATTCAAGATGTGAGGTTTCGCGTGCACGCACACTTCCTCAGGTACAATGGAATGGAATTTACCAGTCCATACCTATAAGGCAGAGGTTGAACAGTAAATTAGTATACAACATAATGAGACGTTTTAACAGATGCAAACAAGAATAACAAGCTAAGTTTATAAGGTCATCATTGTTTGAATTTAATTGGGGGGGGGACAGTGGAAAAAATAAATATGTCAGAATTGGAGACAGATGTGTGATTGTATCCTTAATTGTGGAGTGCTAAGAGTAATGAACTGAGACCTTGTTGTTATGCTCCATCTGTCTCCTCTCAAGCACAGAGGTAATAGCATCTCTGAAGTGGGGTGATTTGTAGTGTAGTGTTATGCCTCCTCTGTTACCAGACAAGAGAAATGCATTCCAATATGCCATTCCAATATCCACTGCATTACATTGTTGCATTCCAATATACCATTCCAATATCCAATGCATTACATTATAATCGCTATTCTAATCTACTGTTCCAACTCAGCCAATGGCCAGGGGAAACCTGGCAATCCTCTGGGGGAGAGGGAGAGGCTAAGAGATGCCAGGTGCCTGGGAGGACTGGAGGCAGTGTTTCCATTTTGTGTTAAAAGCTGAACTAAGTTTGAGTCCAGTACACCTTTCAGACCGTCAAAGTTGGTATAAGCTTTAGTGTGTATGCGCACTTCCTCAGATACAGTGGAAAGAACCTTCTCAACCATTACTTATTGTGGGGGGAGGGGTTGTCAGGGAGGACCATTTAGAGTCAAGATGCAGAAGTACTGGGTGATTGTAGCTGAGATGGGATGTTGTGAATCGCAGTAGATTAGCATACAATTACAAGAGTTGACAAACAGATGTGGGAACCAGTTTTGAGTCCAGTGGCACTTACAAGACAAATAAAAGTTCAATTCTGGGTACAACAAAGAACTGAGAGACTTAGGGTCAGGTCACACGGACATTTAGTGCGGGCTTCGCTGCTGATCCCTCGTGCATTAAAGTTTCCTGTTCATATTGGCAAACCCGCCTCCCGCACCGAAGCGGGCTGAATCCCGCGGTTTCTGCTCTTTTTATCCGCGTTTTTTGACACCCATTCGAACAGTTGTTTTCCGATATCTCGCGCTTTGTATCCGTGGTTTTGGTATCTGGACAGCAATCCGCCTTGACTGCGCTATCCCCCTTTTTTGTGTGTTTCGGTTTAAATTATGCGCATGTGCAAACAGGCACTTGCTTTTATTTTGGTCTTTTTTAGTTTGTATGTACGCCCAAGCGCATGGGAAGATAAGCGCATGCACAGGTAAAAAAACCCCAAACCCCGTTCCGCCGCGGGGACTGCGCACTGTGTGATCAGTACTTTGTGCGAGTGAAGTGGAAGACAGAGGGACCGTCTGACCACCTCCAAGTGATATAAAATGTTGTGGATAGAAGAACTGCGGGAAAACTAGCGCGGTAAGAGGTCCGTGTGACCGCAGCCTTAGTATGCACACTCCATCAGATTCATAGAAACAGATTTCCTCAAATATTGCACATAGGAGGAAAGGGGGGTTATTGCCAGGAAGAGCTAATTAGAGTCAAGATGCCCAAGCGGCTGAGCAATAAATACAGCTATTATTAGCTATTCTTAGTTCAAAGCGATCCACCCAGTCTGTGAAACATCAACAAAAGCCACACCTATTGAACCCACTGGGTGTGAAAGAGCCTTCCGGAAAGCTCCTCCCCTGGATTGCATAATAGGGTCGATCCTCGCCATGAAATCTTTTCAAACAGGGATGGGGGGGATAATAGCCAAACCTTGGAAGCCAAACTGGGTCTGCCCTGTTCTGGACCACCAAGCAACAGCAGGGTCACACAACACAGAGGCAAGCAATGGCAAAACACCTCGGAATGTCTCCTGCCTTGAAACCCGTATGGGTTGCCAAAAGTTGACTTTGACTTGACAGCACACACACA